GACGATCTATCTTCTATACGCAAATGGCTACCATATTGAAAAATATACTATTTTTGTATGATAATTATGGGTTTTGTATTTTATTTTAATAGAAGTTGATGTTGCTTTTGCAATTATCCATCAATTTTTTAAAATTAAACACTATCTACAGATTTGCATCGAAGCGTTTCTTATGATAGTGATTTTAATCACTGTCAGATTAAATCTATACTGGACCCTACTATGCAATGTCTCCACTATGCCGCGACCCCACTGTGCTACCGTTTTTTTTTGACTAATAATTATAAAGGATTTATAAATAAACAATTATGTACAATATTGCATATAAAATTTTTATTTTTACCAATGTTACATCTTAACTATAATTATTGAAACCAAAACATATAACTATATTTAAAAATACATATACTACGCTGGTTCTATTGCATACTCACGATATTAAAGACAAGATTTAAAAAAAAAAAGTTATTATTTATACAATAGTTATTTAGAATTATTTTATTTTTTCTTATAAATTTTAAAAGAATGATGAAATCAGTTTGAGAATACTAATGTTATTTCAGGAGGCGCTAAGTAGCTAAAGCATTCTCTATTTGTGCTTATATTGAAATCAGGAGCGTAGATATAAGTATATTAAGGGTCTAAAATACCCAATTTTAAACATTTTAATTAATAAACAGATTAAAACAAAAAAAAATTGGAGGTTAATGTAGTAATCCCTTTATCATATATAATATCTATCTAGTCCTTTGCAAAGGACTAGGTTAATTAAAATTATGTAATTTTATTGAATAAATTAAATTTTTTATACTTAAAAAATTATACCATTATGGAAGTTTTCTATAATTCTTTTTGGTAAATTTTATTACATATTTCTATCATATATTTATTATATATTATTTTAGTTGTATTTAAAATATTACCGACAATGAGTTATCCATAATATGCATTAATACAACATTAAAAAAGTATAAAATTATTAACATTGATAATATTTTAAAAGTAATCTCACTATGAATTTTTGCTTTAATTGATGGTCGTAATTATTTATTTTTTTTATTATTTAAGGTAATATAAAATAAATGAACTTTGTAGAATCTCAACTCGGAAATTTTTTAGCGTTTTATATTTCAAAAAGTTATTTTATATAAAGATCGGAAAAACATTAGAAATATAAACAATTTTACTTTTAAAGAAATCAATGTCTTATATAAAAAAAAAAAACTAGTTAATTTTAATTACGTTTAAACTTTTATTAATTTTGCTTAAGCTAATGTTATCAGTCTTCATCAAGATATTACAATTTCTTATGACTAATATAAAGATGTTGTGAAACATTAATTAGTCATGGGAAAATATATGATTGAGTGGCTTAAGATTATTTTGTTCGATTTGTATAAGATTCAAATTTATGTACTTTACTATAATCAGATTATACGTAGCTCGTGTATGAACAAACGCCTTAACGGAAAATCTTCCAGTTTTTCGGTGGCTCAATTATTTTTTTAGACAATAATTGACCTTGCGAATGTATAGTTCGAATAATTAAATTTAGTACCTAGCATAATAATTTAACTCTATTTTTTCAAATTTTGTATCATTTTATTCAGAATTTTATAATGTATATTTTTTCATTATGATTTAAGAACTAAATGACCAATATTTTATGAGTTATAAGCCAAAAACCTTATCTTTATAAAGTTCAACAAATAAAAGCACAGTTTTTATAACTAATTTTAAATTGATTATAATATTTTAACAAAATAAAAAATTAATAAATAAGGGGGCTAAATAAAGGAAGGATATATAGAGTAAAGAAAATTTCTTGGATAAAACGATTTATTATTTTTTGCTTCTGAAAATAGACTTATAAAATGGACATAATGATCGTAATGTCCTTAAAGTACAGTATTTATTTATTTATAACGACATCTAGTGGATATAAAATCTGTGAAATAGACTTGTGATACGATTTTATACATAAAGGTAACCATAAATGTTATCGCTAATGGAAACTACCAACGCAAAATTTAATAATTTTGGTCCTGTTCATGGTTTAAGGAATTCGATCATGATTCTTAATTTTAGTAAATTTACATTAACTAATAATTAGTATGGGTTGAAATGAAAAAGGGTTTATTTCAACACGTATAACTTTGATAATTGACCGGCATGACGTTGCTAACATCTCATCGTATATTGCGAAGAGCCACATAATGTTATTCTATTGGTCGGTGTCATATTCGTGTAGTCATCTCATTGGTCGAATCTCTAATAAATGATCAGTTATAGCATTTATACGACCAAGCGTTGAGTTCACAGTACTTATTCGAGTGATCCTAGTTCAAGAATTATAATCAATTGTTAGAATTTTGTGCATATCTTATATTAAATTTGCTGTTCTTTATTAATCGTGAGTTTTTGTACGTTTTTTTGAAGTTTATGGTCAGAATTCCTTTGACAATGTTGAAACTCAAGTATTTTGTACTTGTAGTTTTATGCTTGTCGTTTGCACCGATTCATGGTAAGAATTTAAATGATAGTTAAAGTTTCAAAACTGAACTTTTAATTTGTAAAAATTAATTTAACTATTTGTAATATTTTCTTCTTAGAGCGTTTTGTAGCTGGTGATGCAGGTCAAGTTGATATTGAAATCCCTACAGTTGATGATAATGTCGGTGTTAGTAAAGAAGGAGCTACTACAGGTTAGATATGTATTAAGTTTTATATAGTATGAGCTTTGAAATGACGCATCTAGTATATGATTATTATTTTATCTATAGTTAGTTAAGATTTACAAGTTTAAAACGAGCTCACTCTAATTGACATGTCTGTAAATAATTTATCATTTTTATTTGAATTTAATTTGGTATTATAAAATATCTTGTATTTATATTTGCAAAACATAAAAATTACTACTAAAAATTTATCTTTAATCCTTAAAGAATAATAGTGTAATATATTTATATTATTATTTAATAATTCAATAACAATCAGTAATTTTTGAGATATACTTAATCAAGTATTATAAAAAGTTCTAAAAGTGAAAAAAAAAGTATTGCTTATGTTTAAAATCTTGATTAACAATAGTCTAATTTCTTTAATAATGGTTTTTAATTTGGAAATCTCTTAAATTAAACATTAATTCTTGGTGTTATAATCTTAGTATTCTGACACTTTTTTTTATTTTATTTTGTTAATAATAATAAATTATTTTATAGATACAAATGCTGCTCAAAACGAAGAGGAAAGGATAAAGTTAGATGGATTAAATGCTGCTCAATTACGAGAACTGAATGAACATGCTGAAAAATTCACATTCCAAGCTGAAGTTAATCGGATGATGAAACTCATCATCAATTCACTATATAGAAATAAAGATGTAAGTTTTTCTTTGTAAAATATATGAATATTAAATTTTTTCTATTGATAATTGATCTAAAAAAACTGGATTTTAGATTTTCTTACGAGAACTCATATCAAATGCTTCTGATGCTTTGGATAAGATAAGATTATTATCATTGACAGATCCTAGTCTCTTAGACTCAACAAATGAAATGTCTATTAGAATTAAGGTATTTAACTTTTAAGATTAATATAGATTAAAATAAAATATATATGTGCTTTTTAAGGAAATTAATTATTGTTGATTAATTTATACAATATGTAAACTGGCAAGATGTGACAATAGACTAAATAATATTGTCACTATAGGTATATAAGGGAGTATGTGTTTAGCTTTAATAATGTTTGGTAATTAATTCAAAATACATATGTGCAATTTTTGTGACTTTTTGAGTTGAATATTTTTATAGTTTTAAATTTTAAATAATATTAGCATGAACAATAAATTCTTATTGTATATCTGTATTGTGCAATTGACCTTAATTTGCCATATTTTTTATCAATTCAAAATTTAAATAAATTTTATTATTTAATAGTTAAAAATTAATTTACTCAATCATTATTTTTTTTTTTGTAATAAAAAATAATAATTGATATTAATTTATGTAATTCAATTTAGTTTTAAACTTTATTATTTATAATGTTAACAATTGTCAATTTATATTTATCTGTATCTCTTTTAATGTTTGTTAAATGTTAAAAAGGTTTAATTTTTTCAATTTATAATTAAAAATATAAATTTTTATATTTTTCAAAAATAACAATACAATTATCCTTATTATTTAAAATACTATTATTTCTTAAAAATATTTAATATTTCTATTTTTCACTTGATTAGGTGAACAAAGAATCACGTATGTTGCATATTACAGACACTGGTATTGGTATGACACGTGAAGATTTAGTGAAAAATTTGGGTACCATCGCTAAGTCCGGTACTGCAGAATTCTTAAGTAATCTTAACACTGCTGAAGGTCAAGACAAAAACTTAAATGATATGATTGGACAGTTTGGTGTTGGATTTTATTCTGCTTTCCTTGTTGCTGAAAAAGTTTTAGTGACTACTAAGCATAATGATGATAAGCAATACATTTGGGAATCGGATGCTAATAGTTTTTCAATTGTTGAAGATCCTAGAGGACCAACACTCAAAAGAGGAACTCAAGTTAGGTCAGTAAATTATTTCAATATAATTTAATTCTTAAAAACTAATTTATTGTATGTTTAATTGTTTAGTTTGCAATTGAAACAAGAAGCCTTGGATAATTTAGAATTAGACACATTAAAACACTTGGTAAGAAGATATTCTCAATTCATCAATTTTCCTATTTATTTGTGGTCAAGCAAAACTGAGACTACTGAAGAACCAATTGAAGAAGATGAAGAAAAAGAAACACCTGAAAAAGAATCTAAATCAGAAGAAGATACTACTGATGATGATGGTGATACTGCTGTTGAAGAAGATAAAGAAGAAGAGTCAAAACCAAAAACTAAAAAAGTTGAAAAAACTGTTTGGGATTGGGAAATACTTAATGACCATAAGCCATTATGGACACGTAAACCAAATGATGTCGAAGAAAAAGAGTATCAAGAATTTTACAAAGCATTATCAAAAGATCATAATAATCCATTGGCTTATACTCATTTTGATGCTGAAGGAGAAGTGTCTTTCAAGTCTTTGTTGTATGTTCCTACTTCTCAATTACCAGATGCATTCAACAGATATGGCACATCTACTGATAATATTAAACTTTACGTCAGAAGAGTATTCATTACAGATGAATTTAGTGATTTTTTACCTAAGTATCTTAATTTTATTAAAGGTATTGTAGATTCAGATGATTTACCTTTAAATGTTTCCCGTGAAGTTCTCCAACAGCATAAATTACTTAAAATTATCAGAAAGAAATTGGTACGAAAAGCTTTGGATATGCTTAAAAAATTAGATGAAGAAACTTATAAAAAGTTTTGGGCTGAATATTCTACTAAGTAAGTATAATATTTTCCTATATTATTTTCCCTTAATTAAATGCCATTTCATTTTTTTTTTTTACAGTATTAAGTTGGGTATAATTGAAGATCCATCTAATAGAGCCCGTCTTGCAAAATTAGTACGTTTCCAATCATCTTTAGAAGAGACTCCTACTTCATTAGCTGAATATGTGAAACGTATGAAAGAAAAACAAGATCACATTTATTATATTGCTGGCTCTAGTAGAGCTGAACTTGAAAAATCTCCCTTTGTTGAGGGTATAATTCGCAAGGGTTATGAGGTATTATATCTTGTTGACGCCGTAGATGAGTACACATTTAACGCTATACCAGAATTTGAAGGTAAAAAATTCCAAAATGTAGCTAAAGAAGGTGTTTCTCTATCAGAAGACAAAGCTAAGGCTGAAGAAATTAATAAACAGTTTGAACCACTTATTAAATGGCTTGGTGATATTGCTTTAAAAGAACAGGTGAATACAAATTTTTAAATACTATAATTATCATTTGATTGTTTATTTTTGCATAATAAATATGTTTATAGATTTCAAAAGCAGTTGTATCAGATCGGTTGGCAGATTCGCCATGTGCACTGGTCGCAGGAATGTTTGGTTGGACTGGAAATATGGAAAGATTAGCTTTATCCAATGCTCATCAAAAATCTGATGATCCTCAAAGAGAGTTCTATTTAAAACAAAAGAAATCCCTAGAAATTAATCCCCGCCATCCTCTTATTAAAGATTTATTGAGAAGAGTTCAAGATGATGCTGAAGACCAAAAAGCTAAAGAAATTGCTCTCTTATTATTTAGAACAGGTAAATTTTTAGTCCTATTTAACCACGTTTATTAGATAAATAATAATGTAATTTATCTAATAACCTTTGATTTAAATTAAATTAAAAGAAATATATTTCTTTTAATAGACTCCATCATGTATTTAAAAATATATTATTGGTTTAAATTACTAAATTAAATAAATTTTTTTTTAGCTACCTTGAGATCAGGATTTATGCTTCAAGATTCAGCAGATTTCGCTGAGAGTGTTGAAACGCTTATGAAACAATCATTGGGCATTCCTCTTGATGAAAAAGTTAGTTATGAAGATGAAGAACCAATGTCAGATCAACAAACTGAAGAAGAAGAAGAAGAAGAAGAAGAAGAGGGAGAAGAGAAAGAAGAAACCCCAGAGCATGAAGAATTGTAAGAAGGATATTAAATATATTATATAATAAATGGTAGACTGTATCAGTTTATCATATTTATAAGTCTGAATATTTAATTATCAGCATGTTATTTATTATTTCCAAGAAACTACTAACTTATTGTTTGTATTTTATATGGTTTCGTGCTATTGAAAAAGCTTATTTTTTATATCCTAAATTATAAAAAATGTACAGACATCTCAATAGATTTAAATTATAATCATTATAGTAAGAAAAATTTAGTAGTATTTTGTACAAATGATTATCAATAAATGATTAAATATATTTATTTGTTTATTATAGTGTTCATATCAATTTATTTTTATTACATTTATTTTATTTTATGTTCATCCTGATGTTAAATTAAGAGTTTTAACTATATAAATTAAAATAGAATTCGAGTAAATGACAATTTTTTGACTCGTTTACTAGAGTTTAGATGTATTGGTATGCTCAAAAGTTCTAATTAAGCCAATTATTTTGGTATTTATTAAATTAAGGTTAAATGGGGCACAATTAAACAAATAAGATTTAATGCCCTCATCTTAATTAAAGTGATTTTTAATGATCCATTCTTATGAAATATTTATCAAGGAATATTTAAGTATTTAATCAATAAAAATTTGGTAACATCGGTAGTTTTTAACAGCAATACCATTGTGAAATAATTATATATAAATAAATAACTTTTTTGTTTTGGCAATTAAAAAATTAGATGTGTTAAAAATGATTATTTTATTTTATTTAAAATACAAATACAAATTTTAGTATGCTAAAGTATTAATTTTTTTTTATTATTTTATTTTATTTCAACACCTAAAGGGTACATCTAGATGAAGCACATTGAGACACAAATTATACATAATAATATGAATGGTAATAATAATAATATCGTAAGTTGAATACGGCCATCTGTTTAACTTGCATTATTAAAAATTTTTATTTTTTTGGTAAAATTTTATCAAGTGCAAAAATATCTATAAATTGATAGTAAAACATCGGTCTTTTTAATTGACTGATAACCTTTTTTTTTTAAATGCTTCAATTTGCTTTTATTTAAACAAAAATTATAAAATTTAATTTGAACTAACTTTAATTTTTAAAGTAATTAAAATAGCGTCAGTTACTTATGTATTAAATTAATCTGTTGTCCCATTGTAAACAAGAACTTGTCTTATTGTAACCTATCAATGGCTCACAATGAGACATTTTACATATTTTTTTTTATTGCAAATCTTGTTAAAACGTAATAAAAAAATAGAAAACTAAAAATATGTGATATCAATAAACGTAAACTATGGTTAATCTTAATACTAATGACGTAAAACAACTCCTGTTAAAATAAAAATACATTATTTTCCAATGTGTTATATTTAATATTATTCTATGTTAGACAAAATTAGACACTTGTCCGTTTTTCACTATTTATGGCTGTGAATTATATTTCCAACCCTTTTTATGTTAAATGAATAAAATTAGTAACGTTAAAATACATATTAAGAATATTAAATATAAAAATTGTATAACGTTTATATGTTGAATAGCGTTAAACTCAATTATATGATTACGTTATATTATATTTAAACATTAACCGAAGCGTTTTTTTAAATTTATCTTTTAAATAAGGCTAATTAAAATGTTTAATTAGAATTTATTAAGCTTTTTTTTATAATTTCAATTAGTTTAAAAAAAATCACTTAGACATCTAGAAAATGGTTTGAAATAGAACTCTTTGAAAATTAAATGCTTCATTGTGCCTCTTTATCTCCTACAATGTTTTTTTTTATTTTATAACTATTTTAAAAGCAGTTTTGTAAAATCAATAAATGATCTATTTACCTTCATATTAATATCTAATAAATTTTGTTTTAAAAATTCCACATATACAACTACTACAATGAAATATTTTTTCATTGTATGGTTATCAATAATTTCTTTGTCTATCAAATGAGGATAATACATTTTTAACAGTTTTTTTATCGTCATCGTAGATACCGTGGACATATCAATATTATAATCGAGAGACGGACTTGAAAGTTTTATTTTATTGAAAATCAGTGGTAAATTATCAAATCCACGTGTAATATCTTCGATTATTTCATTTCTTTGTTTATGAGTTGAAAAATGATGAACTGGATGACTAAAAACTTTGACAGCGTACTGGAACAATTGATCTTTTTCTAAACCAAAAAGTTTAATGAATTCTTTAAGCTTCGAAAGCATAAGATTACTGTATTTTTTGAGTTTACTGTGTGATTTCAAAATATGTTCTGGTAACAATGTTTGATTGAGACAAACCATGAACTTCCATATTAACCTTATCATGATGACCTCCAACATATTGGTGAAATTTTCTATAAATAAGCCCAATCGCTCCAACCATAGGTCCGGTCGTGTCTGGCGGTCGATTTCCGCAAAATAATTCTCAATAATCATTACACTATCTTCCCAATTTTTTTGTTCGCCAAAATCTCGTAGCAGTATTATTAGTATGTTTCGGTTTTTCGCTAAATGGTTCATCTTTAAAGCGTTTAATGTAAAATGTTTTTCATTTTTTTCAATCATTCGGTAGAATATGTCTTTAGCGTTTAGTTCGTCATCAAGAATATTTTTGTTATGTTTAATATAATTCACACGGGCCAACACCGATGAGTGTATTTTTTTCATCTCTAAGTAAGACTTGGAGTCTTGTAGTAGTCCGTTATACCGATTATTAGGGTTGCACATTTCACAAGTGAATTTTACAATGATCGATGTGACTGCGTCATGGATTTCTACTGTATTTATATCATTTGTTAACAATTTCTTACTTACCAACTCTTTATATATTTCGTACATGAAAATCAACCATAGCGGAAACATCATTTTATCTGATCCTCCGGTGAATTCGAATGTTGACATTAACATGATCTTTACCTGTTTTAAAAAAGACAAAATGTGCGCTTGTGATTTTAAATGCGTCATCTGCAAAGTATCTTTAGAAATAAGCATATGATTTTGAGCCAAGTACACAAAAAAACAAGATATATTAGAAAATTGATTTTTTATCAGCTCTTCAATTTTTTTTACACTCATTTTTTTTAAGTCACTTTTAGTATATGTTTCTTTAATTTCATAACCTGTGTCAAGGGACTGCAGTGATAAGAAAGTATTTACAATTACATTTTTTTTTTCCTCTAAATTATCTAAATCATATAAATCATATAAATCATTCATACTCATCACATACTTACATTTATAAAAAATCACTAATAAATATAAAATAATAGTACATGCTGATAATATTTTAGCGTTTAATAACATCTTAATATTTTTTTAGAATAAAAACTGACAAAACTATCGGAGAAAAGTATATTTGAGTCACATTTATACGTTTAAAACTATTTTTACAAATAATTTTTTTATTTAAAAAAGAACAACTGCTATGTATTATAAAGTTATAAGATAAACATTTTTTTGTTTGTTGTTAATGACGTACATTTTTAAGCTATAAATTACCTATATGTTAATACGTTATATTTTAACTCGTTAGACAGTTTTAATTTTTTGAAAGTATATACTTAAATTATTGTCTTTTGGCAAAAAAACATAAACATGTAAAAAGTCAAATAATTTATTGCAGTTTCATTTAAAAGAAAACTGTTTAGGATAGGAAATGTTTGCATTGTATAGATTTTTAGTATTATAAGACTGTGTTCAATTTGATTTAAATTTCGTAATTTTTTTAGGTGTAAAGGGTCTATTATTATCAACTGTTTACAGTTAAAAAAATTAATATTTTTCGGGATATTAATAGTAAATAGTAAATTTTTTTAATGTCTGTTAATTATCAAAAGATAATATCTTTAATAACTTAAAGAATATTGCCCTCGTTTATTTTTAACTTCCGTATTCTATCAATTCTGAATAACTTTGACAAAGACTTTACTAATTATAACGTAATCACGTTCCAAAATAAAAGAATTGAATATAAACAAAATTTAATGTGTATTAATTTTCGAATAGTGTCAAAAAAATGGCATAAACGAATATGTACAGAACATAATCAAGATAAAAAATGAATATGAAGTAATATAAAATTCAATTGAATTTAATTTGTTAAAAATATATGACCTTATTTTTCAGAAAACGTTTTATTTATAAATTCATATTTATTTATCATTACACAATTTATATAATTTATTGATGAAATGTATAACAACAAGTGCCAATATATCTAGATACTTAATAAAATAAACTAAATTAAACATATTTTTTTAAAAAGTTTATATTTTTACTTGGCAATGTTAATGTCTACCAAAAAGTATATTTTTTATACAAAAAAAAAAAAAAAAATGGGACATAATTTCTTAAACTCATTAAACGCAAACTATAAATTTAAAACTATTACAAATGGTTCTTGTACAAATATTTTATTCCAGGATCATTAATTAATATAACATTTAGTAAATGATAAAATTTATTTTATCATTACAGATTGTCATATGATAACGTTCTCAATTAAATAACGTCATCCTTAAATATTACTTATGCTGTGTTCCATTTATTATGTATGTCTACTTTTATATTTAAATTACTGAAAATGTATCATTAAAAAAACCCAGCACGGGGGTCGCAGCACAGTGGTGACGTGGCATAGTTGGATCAAGTATAATGATATCTGACAGTGATTAAAATCACTATAAAAAAAAACGCTTCGATGCAAATCTTTAGATAGTGTTTAATTTTAAAAAATTGGTGGATTATTCCAAAAGATACAAGATCTGCTATTTCCTTATTAATATCCTGATTAAGATAAAGTATGTCGAATGAAAGAGGGATGTAAATATTATTTCTCATAAAAAAATTGTATTGATCCATGCACTTTTCAATAAGTTATAGCATTATAAAGTTAAAAATGTAAAAAATAAAATCGAGAATTTCACACAAAAATAGCATCGGTAACCATTTTCACCGTGACAAAATAAAGTCCAACATTTTTTTTTTCCATAATTAAGTGCATTACATTAGCTATAAGTCCGAAATTTTTTTTTCCATGATAAAGTATATTACATTATTTTTAATTTAATATATATATATATATAAAAGTGTCAGACTTTCCGGAACACTTTCAAAAGTTAAGTTGAAAAAATTAATTTTTTGTAAAAAGTTGTCATTTTAAATCCTCCCCTGTGGGCAGGTCAAGGGTCAGATTTATAAAAAAAAATATGCTAAATAATAGGTAAAGACATCATGCATCTATAAAAAAAAATTATATTGATTTGGTCATTTTTAAAAAAGTTATGGCAGTTTTAAGTAAA